CATAAAACTTTACACAGGCAATTCAGCATTTACTGGAATTCAGATACGAACTGCTGCCAGCAAAAGCTACCGATGTCGCCACCAAGCTGCGCTGTACGAGTAAATATGTCAGTATTTTGATTTCTTTTTAATATTTTGTGCAATTTGGCACACGGGATAAATATCTTAGAAAAATTTGGCAAACTTGGAGATTCGTGCCCGCATCAAAACTGTGTCAAAAGGACGTCTTTTTTTTTTCCATTGAAACCGTTATTATTTTAATTATCTTCATCCCTAGTCATCGGCAATGTTTGTTTTTAAAAAGCGATGATTAGGATTGTAATAACCTAAACATATGATGAAAGTAAATTTATACATTGTCTTTGTTCTTGAGAACTGTCGGAGTTACCTCCTCTTTAGTTCCTTAATTCTTCACCGGGGTTCTCTCTCCCCATACTATAAATACTGGACGACTTCTTGCCTCGACCTATTCTTTCCTTGCAGAATCCCACCTCGCGTGGAGGTGAGGTAAATCTCTTTTTCGTCTTCATTTCAGCGACAAGATGTAAGCTCTTAGAAGATCAGCGTTTCCCATTTCTGCGAAAACGCTATGAACATTACATTCGCCACAATACGAATTTCTCCAAAAATAGCATTCACCAAAATACGAACGTGTACACACACACACACACACACACAATGTTAACTATGTGCTTTGTAATTTGTTGTTAATACACATATCTGTTTTAATATATATCGGTCTTGTTTGTTTGTCTTCCTTATCTTCAGCTGAACTTAATCCGAGTCCGATATTTTCATATTGTAGCTGGACCTTCTAGCAGTAAATATAAACGCACGTGTGTTTCTTTACATCTTCACCCCACCTATCCTCTATAGAACTGGCAATAAAAATAATAAACTAAAAACATTATATTGTCTATCAGAATGTTTGGCCAAAAATCGGCTAATTGCCAATTGATTTGAATTTTAAAACTGGATAAGGATTTCAGTTTCACATACTCAAATAATTTAGTAAATATTTATAAATAGTTTTCATATTTCTTTATAAATTGGCAAATGATATAAATTGCATTAGCTTTAATACAATTACTTTTTATTTATTTATTTTAAATGATGTAAATATAAAGTTATTTTTTTGTAAATAAACAAGCTAATAAATGAATATTGGTAAATGATAAGGATTTGTTGTAAATTCTCGAACAAATATATATATAGTTTTTATTTTATTACAATTCTAATCACCGTTTTTGAAACTACAAACATTGCCGAGCATGGAAGGTAGTTTTTGTTTCGTTTTGTTTTTTTTTTTTCTTGCTCGTATGAAGGCCCAAGTTTGCCTACCAAATTTATGAATAAGTTACTACATTTTATTTACAATTTACATTATTTAATTTATATCACAAGATTTTTTAGTCTGGGTCAATCAACACATTCTTCGACCGCAAGAGAATAACGTGGGATCGGAAATAATGAAATAGTATAGTTTTTTTTTTTTTTTTTTTTTTTTTTTTTCGACGAGGTTTAAATTCTCATTTGCTAATGTTCGTTTATCATATAAACTTTTTAAACTTAAATGTGTATGTGCGCACACGCGCGTTTGCTTCTATATTAAAAGATGTATATTTTAAAAAGAAGACTAGTTTTTTTTGTTTTTTTTTCACCTTTTGAATCTAATATGGCAGCTGATATAGCAGAGATACAAGTAATAAAAAATACAGATGATTTTAAAAACGGCCATTCAGTGAATGTAAGAAGACGTTTTGGATAATAAGGCGAGGAAAATAATTAAGTTTTAAAAAAAAAAAAAATTAAAAAAATTAAATTTTGATACAGTGTGACCCGGATATAAGAGATTTTCTCTGGTCCCAAATTAGAGCCTGTGTTAATGTATATAAAATAGACCAAACCCGGATATAAGAGACTTCTTCTCCGGTCCCGACAACTCTCTTATATCCGGGTTACACTGTACATGAAAGCATTGAAAAGTAGTTAGGTGTGTATACGTGCATGTATGTGTATGTATATATGGTTTGTTCTATGTAAATTATTACTTATTTTTTATTTTTCCATCTAAACATTTTTTAGAATCTTTTTAAACGGTAGGATCATGACCAAACTATTTTTTGATGGGTGGGAAGCTCATTTTAAAACTCTAAAAAGTTTTAAAGTAGAAAGTATTACATTGTTTTTGGACAACACAAAAATTATGCACTGTTAGAAAATCAGAAAAACTCGTTTTTAAATAAATGTTGTTTGCAGTTTGACTAAAAGCGATAGACTGTCTATTTTAAATTTATTTTTTCTTTCTCATTTTCCGTTCAATTAAAAATACCATGAGCTAATTGTTTCTTAAACTCGGCCAATAAATTGGTGTGTAATTATTGTTTTTTTTTTTAATCTGACATTATTCTACAGGGAGGCAAAATTTCTCATCTTGTTATCCCCTCCTCCCCAAAAAATCAGCAATATAAGGGGGGGGAGGGATTATAATTTATTATGAAGCGAAAATTAAATTTGCTTTAATCTTATGTCTTTCACTAACAAACAAGAACAGAAAAATACTTCAATATCTTTCTTTTTCCAATAGTTGCAAAATATTGATATGCCTCACGCCCTTTTTAAAAGTAAGTATAACTTAATGTTATTAATTTGAATTAATTATTAATTTGATTGATTGCTTAAGCAAGGAATATAACGAAAGAGGAAGAGGAGAAATCTTTTAATTATTAATCGACGCTTTCACAGTCTTCTTTCACAAAGAAGAATTATCATTTAATTAAGTCACTTGCTGCGATAAAAGAAAAATATGTTTCGGTTTGATTTTCTTTTCTTCCATAAATGTTATATTCAATTAAAATAAATTTTTATCTTTTTTTTTTTTTTTTTTTTTTTTTTTTAATCCAATAAACGTTTTACGGGAACAGTGACGGGGCCACCATTAAATTCACTGTATCCGAGAATTGATTTATTGACGAGACCTTGCTGACGATAAACGGCAGTTTCTCTCGCTATCGTCTGTTTTAACTTTTACTCTATTCAAATAAACTGCTAATAAATGCATGCATAGATAGGTACAGCAAGGAGCCTATTGATGGGGCGAGAGAGTATTTTATTTTGTTTTTGTACATCCTCGTCGTTACGCTTCTTTTACCGTGGTAAAAGAAAATTAATCGTATTGATTAGCAGGGCCGGGTTATCCTTTTGGCTAGTATAGGCTGCAGCCCCCCCCCCCTTTCAAGCTTTCAATAAAGCAGTGATTTAATTTTCTAGGTACTATAACTTCTAAATAGTTCCATAAACTGAAATGATATCAATATGACAACTGTATATTTGACTTTGTAGGAACCAAAGCAATGAAAAGAATTTTTTTCTTAGTTTGTGTTATTGTGTAACATGTCTGATTTTAATTTAGAATGTTTAAATCTTAGAAATTTTTATTTTATAAAGTGGTAATTTTAATTTTCTAGATGTTGTTATAACTTGTAAATATAGTTTCATAAACTGAAAAGATATCGGTGACAAACTCATTTATTTTTGTTATAACGCTGGTTAAAAAAAGTTATTTACAACAGTTGTGTTGAAATATGTGCTAATTTGCTTTGCAATAAATAGTAAAATAGTCGTATTGCTTAAAGAATTCTTTTATTCACAAACAAAAGATAACTATTCTTGTTTATCTAAATAATTTGTGACTTCAAGCATAGTATATGTCTAAAATATATCGCGAGTAAAAAAAAAAAAAAAAAAAATATTCAAGATGGGGTCTCTGTCATTAGCATAGGAGGCTCCAAAATATCATACTCTAACCCTGCTAATTAGACATTATATAGTAAAAATTTTAAATTAAAATTGAACTACATGTTAGATTCGACTTATTGATCCACCTTCATATAGTAAAATTTTCTTTTTAAATAATGAAAGTTATAAAAATAGAAAGCTAACCATCTTAAAAACTTATTTGAATGTCTCTTCATTTTTTTTTTTTTAATAAACTAGAGCAGAGTCTACACTTTTTAAAGAATTTTGTAATGTTTTCTCATACTTTGATATTGACAAAAAATTGTAGAATCAATTAAACAAGTTAATAAGTTTAGGTTGAAAAGAAAAAAAAACATGCTGATATTTATTAAACTTGGTAAATATTAATATCGAAACGACAGATATAGGACACCGAGTAAATAATGACCTTTTTGAGATCAGATTGCTAACGATGGTTCTCTGGCGACACGAGAATTATATTTAATTTACCGATGTCGACGATGCTCTGACTTCAAGGACACAGGTCCTCAAAATTTGTCTTGAAAAATGAAAAATAGATAAAGTTAAGGAAATATATAAATAAAAACTAAAAAGTAACCCAATAAAGTTTTTAGATTTGTTTCCAAGAAAGGTAGCTTCTTTGGTGCCTGTATAGATACCCCCCCTCAAAAAAAAAAAAAAAAAAAAACTTCTGGAGTCTCTTTTAATGTTGATATCAATAAAATAAATATCTCGGCAAAAATTGGCAATCGAATTATTTTATATCGTACTAAAAATGACCAGGACATTTTAAGGATAGAATATGCATTATCGAATAAAACTTGTAAATTTCACAGTATCGGTTAAGTATTAAAAAAAAAAATCAGTAGCTTATTTGAAAAAGCAATGATTACACAGGCCATTGCATTACTCATCAGTTCTATCCTCACCAAATATCCATCTCTAGTGTAGCCGTGTTTCAAAGTAAGCTTAGCAAATATTAAGATTTCATTCACTTTTTTTTTACTTTTTAACAAGCACATAAATTTTTTACATCTCCACATCAGATTTATAAAAAGAAACTTCTCTCTAATGTGTACAACTTATTCACCTGTCTAGGCTAGATTTGGGACTTGTCATTACCAATTCAGTCAAAATTAACTGACGCTGTGCATGTATTGAATTTTGCCATTAAATAATTGAATCCTAACCAATTCTTATCGGCTGTTTTTATGAGTTGTAACAAATCGTGTTGCAAACACTCATTTTTTCTTTTTTTGTAAAAATGCTATTCTCAGTGATTGGTTGAAAATAAATTCGACAATCTCAAAAATTGTCAAGACACTGGCACCAATAAATAAGCCCATAGAACCACCAATGTCACCTGCAAAAAACAAAAAAAAAAGTAATTTTTTTTTTTTTTTGTGAAAACATTTCTTTGTATACGCATTAGCGTACAGACATAGCAAAATTTTTACTTTTTCAATTATGAATAAAATATTTTTAGCCCATCAAGTTATTGTAAATCAACTGCATTTACTTGACTCTCATAAATTATTCCCGAGACAATTATTGTCTTTTCGTTTAAAACGTTAAATCCAATAGAAAGGATCAGTGAAGTATGTTGTAGGTTTTTTTTTTGTTTTTTTTCTTTTCTTAAAAAAAAAAAAAAATATAAACACGTACACATTTAAGCATAATTCTTATATTTTTGTAAAATAAACGAGAAAAATAATGAAATAAAAAAAAAAAAAAATTAAATATCCATAAATCTTTGCATAATAGGGTTTTAGCAGATTCCTCTGTGAGTATGTGGTGTTTTGATGTAGGATTGGATGAGGAATGGTGTGTTCTTGAAGGATATATAAATTGTAACAAATGGGTCGCAAATCAGATTAGCTAGCCAATGACGATCAGCCTTACCCACTCCCCCCTTCGGCCTTGTGCCAAAATTGTACATAAAAATACAATAAATATATATACACACTTAAATATTTACCGAGCTTACGTTATTTTGGCATTGGGTCACAGGAGTGGATAGAGATTTACTTAGCGTACCTTAGAACACTCAGTGAGGACCGAACTCTTCACTCAGTAGTAATTAATCTGACGAGACAAGCTTGCTAACAATTACATCATGTCGAATTGCCTTCACAATTCATTGACTATTGACCCTCGTCTTTTTTTTTTTATACTAGATCCTTTCAGAACGCAGATGATCGTATTTTCCACCTTTTCATAATGTGAACTGAGATGATTACCTGGCAAAGATAATGGCGTGGTATCCCGTTGCTTTCTCCATAATTTGGAATTGAGCTTTCGTTCTCTTAGACTGGTTGTCAACGCATGACTCTAGATTCCACTCCACTCTTCTATTCGACTCCTAGTTGGTGGGGAGACGAGATGGATGTACGTCTTTCCCATCGGCATATATGCGAAAATGAATGAAACAATTTGAACTCTGTTCACCTAGTCCATTTTCTGCGCTGATAGCTTTTGCGCTACTCATGATTTTTACTCTTCACTAGAAGTTCTTGGATAGATTTAGACAGATACTACCATTCAGAGAGATAATGTGAGGGTGGCATTCGGTGGTGACTTGTTTTCTTAAAACTAAAATTATTAAAAGCTACAGAAAATTAATGGTTGTTCTGGGATACGATTATAAATTTTTGACTAGGACATTTAGAGTAAAAGATCAATATTTTTTTTTTTTTTTTTGTTAAACTGTGACGCAGCAAATGTCGAATAGAAAGTTGATCAGCTTTATATTTACTTACTAGACGCTGGTAAAATGTGTCCCAGAGAATGGTAATTATTCATCTCAGACTTCCAGGATATTGTTTTCAGTTTTAAATGGACAATTTTTTGTTCTCTCATATCAAGCTCAAAATTCATATCTTTGTTCGAAACCTCGAAAATTAGTTAAATATATGAAGTAGATAGTATTTACCCGCGTCCCCACATGGGTAGAATGTGACACAAGGTCGATTTTAATGAGAGATGGCCCATCCAAAAATTGCCCTGTCCTCGCAACCACTGTCACATTGGCGTCGATATTGCTCTTTTAGTGCAGTGGGGGAGGTGCTGCTGCAGGGTTGTAATCCTCGAGACCGGGCATCTTCTCCGTTAATTAAAAGGAAAACAGATACTATGCATTGATCCCGGACCAAAGAACGAGAAGTGCTATTTACCTGACATTCCCATTAAGGCAAGGGCGTGACACAACACAAGGGTGTGTGTGTGTGTGTTTTCGTGGAGGTGCCCAGATACATAAATATGAATACGGGGCAAGGACAAAAACTGCCCAGTCTCCGCGCCCACTGTCACATCGATATTGCACCCACCCAGCCTCAGTCAGTTCAATGAGGAAGGTTCTGTCGAGAGTGGGCGCCTCCTAACATCTAAAATAAGGAGAGAACAGATACACCGCTTTCATCCCGGCCGAAAAGGTCGAGAAGCGTTTCTATTTACCCGACTTTCACTTTAAGGTAGGATGTGACAGGTCTTTTTTTTTTATGTGGTGAGCCTATGCGCGTGCATATAGGCCAACGATGAAATTTACCCAGCCGTTGTGGCTACTGTCCACTTTTAGTGGAAGGTGCTGCTGCAGATTTGGAATCCCCGGGACCAGGTGTCTCCTCCCATCTAAAATGAGAACAGATACCAAGTTTTGATCCCGGCTCGAAGGCTGTGAAGCTATCTTTATGTAAAGTAGACTGTGCCCGCGCGCTGATATGACTTTAAAAATGTCAGCAAATAAATGCCGTTTTTATCATTTTTTTTATTAACTACTAGCATATGACATATCTTTCCCAATTTAGCGGTTCTTGCTTCGTGAAAATGACTCCTTTGTATATTCAGCTAGAAACATATATTTATTTATTTTTTAAATAAATTTATTTTCTTTCTTTCCAGCTTGATCTTTTGTTATCTTTAAATAAGTGATTGTTTCGTTGATGGCTTTTATAATTGTTTAGCTTCTCAAATGAAGCAATTTTCTGCCTATTGACGAGAAAACCTTTTCGAACTACTTCAACGATCAACTAATAGCAGGTAGCATTTCCCAAATTAATTATAGAACAATTTAAGCAGATAGATAAAAACGGAAACTCTTTTATGCTTCTGTTATTCTCTCTCCTGCTGGCCATCATTGTGAATGACAAACAAAAATTCGTCTCGCTCTAGTGGTAGAATAAAATGAACACTTACCATGATAGTTCATTATAACTTTTCATGGTCTATCGAGATGTGTTGCTGTGTAACATGAGCAGATGATAAAAATTTGGCCAAATGCAAACAATTCATTAATTTTATTAATCCTAGGCTTTTATCAAGGAGAACGAAAAAATAAATAACAAACGGGTTTCATACTTACAGAAAAGGGAAAATATGTCATAGGCAACCTGTTGCGTGATCTGCTCGTAACTCAGTTCTCTATAAAAAATGGCGAGCTCTAAGAAATTCTCCCTGAAAATAAAAGGTATTAAAAGACATTGAGTAACTCAAATTTTGTAAAACTTTCGATTTGCTCTTACGATATTTCTCGAGATTTTTGACAAATTTCAAAGGAGGGTCTGTAATGTAATCGATCCTCACCTGGCATCTCGACTTCAGTCACTTTCTCACCGACATGACGTGGCTTCCTTCTGTCTTTTCTACAAATATTTTCATGCAAAATGGCAAATGTTCTGAAGTTGTTTCTCTCCTTAATGCATCGACTGCAATGAATTTAAGCGTGCTACTAGATTGGCAATCGTCAGTTCGATTCTAATAGTTTTTCTTGACGTTTTCTTGACTACCATTCGATTTCTTGCTTCCTATAACCTTCAAAAATTTAAATGCAGCGACAATTGCCATATTCTGTATTTCTGAATCCTGTTGCTTTATTGTTCTTTTCCTCATTCCTCCTCACTAAAGTCTTCTCATTTTCTTTCACTACTTGTAACACCCCACCCCGCATCCTAGTGGCATTATTGCATCGTTTGGGGGTGAAATGTTTTAAAAAATCTGTAATGATTTAATTTCATTAGCCGAAATGGAACCATTTTAACACGCTTTTTTGAATGAAAATAAATTGTAGTTTAATTTTTTTTAATGTTATATTTAATGTTATGTTATATTGATTTCTTTTTGGGAATTTTTACAATTTTAAGAAAAATTTAGTTGATCGCCAATGTTCAGTTTAGCATGTCAATTGAATGCAAAACTGGATTCTACACCCAAATCCATGTCCCTGTCAGAAGAAAAAAAAGGGGGGTTCTTTTATTCGAAATAAATATCGATTTTTATTCCAATTGGATGTTTTGCCAGTTTTTCATTAATCACTTACTATCATTAATGTTGGGGTACCGGTTATTAACGACAGAGTTCAAATTCCCGTCTATGTTGCTTTCACCTCGCTTAAATATATTCGGGAAAGACCTGAATCCTTTTACCCTGAAATATGGTTTAAACAGTTGGATAGATTGGACTATACAGCTTCTGGTGACACAGTCTAGCAGAAAGACTTCTCTGCCATCTTTCCTAAGACGTCATTTCGAAGATATTAATAAGAAGCTGTGGAGAGCCATGATCTACGTTCTGCAGGGAGATTGCATTTAATTTTTTTTTAAATTGCCTTTATTCCAATTGGAGTTTACCTTTCTTTCTCTTTTATATTTTCGTAAACGGATACAAAATCAGGGTCCAGTTTTAAATTTAAATTCACACGTTAAATTGACCTAAATCTGGATACAGATAATTAGTTGTATTGTAAACTGAACCCCCGACTTTAGAACCATTGCACTCGATCCAGCTTGACAAAAACGAAAATATTCCAATAAGAAATCGGTTATATTTAAGCCAAGCAAAAATAGAGGAAAATGCATTTTCATACAAATGTTTGCTACTGCAGTTATTTTCCACTATGTATTGAGGCAGTTCTTTTAATTTACAAAAAGTCAAGAGAGGATTTATCACCAATGAATTAAAAGCAGGACTCTTAAAAGAAAAATTGCTTACGTCCTCGTGTTACCGAAAAAATGGTAATATTAGCAGTTTTCCTATAAGGAAACATTCGGCATTCATTGACCGAGCAGCCAGTACTATTGTCGGTTGAAATTTGTAAAATCTTTCTCTTAAAACAATTTTCAGGAAAATCGTTTTCTCAAGTTGAGATTGCAAAATAATTTGAATGGTAAAAAATTTAATTCTTTGAATGATATTAAAAAAAAACACCTTTTAATGAGTTCTTTGCCGAAAAATTACTGAAATTCTGGGAAGATGGCATCTTTAAGTTGAAGGAAAAATGGAGAAAGGTTGTGCAAGAAAATGGTGTATATACGGACACTCCACTATTAACTGGCTTGTCAGTTTTCGCCAATGTCTTCTTTGGCAAATTGATGTGGTATAAATTGTTACCAACAGTTGGTCGGTTAACTTCCCAAGAGCTATATTTTACGAGAACGAAGAACTTATAGTACCAACAGAAAAGCTGAATTAATGTAGCGAGAGAATTCTGGAGTTGAGCCTTCAATCAAAAGCAGTAATCAACTTCAACTTAAGACATTGAATTATACTTTCTTCGTAATACTTCAACTGAACCCCTCAATTCGCAGGACCATGGGTAAAAGTATCGTCAAGAATCACGTCTGTTAACTTCCGAGCTGTGAAGGTCGAAGGATTTATATTGTGATGGTTGGATAGAATCTGGGACCCTCGGGTTTTCTGATTGAGAAATTAAACAAAAAAAAAAAAAAAATTACTCAATCACCATTTCCCACGCTATCTCAAATGTGGCTCGTTACTATTTTGTCCAGCCTCTACGTTGCTGCTTTGTAATTTCATTGGTTCATTTCCCTATAGCGTAATTCGGACATCTACTTTCAACCAATCAGAAATGATACATCAGATATAATGAAATGAAAAATAGTGCCCGGAATACAATCTTTCAACTATATTATAAAAACTAAATAATCTCTGAAAAAGACCCCCCCCCCAAAAAAAAAACACGCGGATTTTTATTTACATAGGTTTTCCAAATTCTTATGTCAAAAAATGAAAACATATCTGTAAATCTTTCTTCAAGAAAATTAGATTTAAGTTTTTATTAATAGGGGTGGGAGAAATGGTTAAAAATTATTTATATTACACTTCGCATGCTTTATTATATATAAAAGATTGTTCAGAATATAAAGCCAGTTAAAGGAATATAAGGTAGTAATTCAAGGTAAGGGGAAAATATTTAGAACGGTAATATTGACAACACATGAAAATAACTTGAAGGGGGCATTATTGTCATCCTCATTATTGTTGTGTGTATAAAAGTTCCTAGATCAATACACAGTTGAAAATCTATAACAAAAATAATTACCTGAGGAAATCTGTATCCATTTTCAAAGACTCCTCGAATGCAGCCATTTCCTCGATGACATTTTCCAGACAATAGAGGAATATGCGATCTGTATTACCGACCAGTTCTCTCAGATCATTTTCATCTCTTACTTTGTCGTGTTGATCGAGAATATTTTTTGTTACGTCGGCTAAATCTTGCAGATATTCAGTCTTGTTCAGGAATGTGTAATAGTCCACTAAATCGACATCATTGAGAATATTTTCCCAAATATTGACGCTAGCCATAGCTAGTTTATTCCAACTGTCGAACAGCGTACTCCCACGTGCTCGAATTTCGATAAAGAACGTTTTCAGTTCATTTATACCTTGACGAATACTGGCTGAAGTGAATATTTTGGCCAATGACCTCTTACTAGTTGATGCGTTCAGATAATCGATGGCCAAACGGCTAGTAACCGTCAAATTGTGCATAATGGTGTTCTGCAGCGACCTTAGTAGAGATTCAAGGTTCTGTAGATTGAATTTCATATCGTTAGCAATGTTTTCATATTTTTCCAGCAAAGCTGACGTCACCAGTTCCTTTTGTTCCACCTGCTCCTTGGACCAGTCGACCGAGTAAAAATAAAAAGCACTCTTTGCGAAATTGTAATTCTTGCAAGCCTTGTTGTAGGCTTCACTTATCTGAGCCATTCGAGTTTCGTTCAGTGTATGGTTAACGAAAGTCTCGTTAGCCAGATCGATGTACATTTGTAAGCTATCTTGAACACGTTTAATCCACTGGGGGAGTTTCTTTGTGTATTTGATCGCGTACGATGAGTGAGTCAAAGCCCTGGAAAGCAGTGGCTTCGGCACGATGTAAATGTTGTGAGATCGAGGTGTCGTTTTGTATTTGTAGTTGAAGATGGGGGTACCGTTTTGGAATGACCCTAACAGTTCTGTATAATTTCCCATCGCTTTATTGCCTTTCTCAATGTTTGCTTTGCAACTGTTTACGATCATTACGTAGAGAAACTTTCGTATTGTCTTGTCAGTTAATTCAGTACCTGCCAGTTCTCGGAGACGGTTTTCAATAATATAGATGAAGTTTAGATAGTCAAACGCTAGATATTTGAGTGTGCGTTCCTCCATCGCTTCCCGGACGCGGAGAAAGTTCTTCTCGACGGCGTACGTTTGATACTTATTCATCCACTGTTTGGTCTTAGCTTGCTTTGTTGTGTCGTTGTAGAAGTTGCTGAGCAGTTTTACTTGTTTGTCTATGCGATCGTTGATGTTCTCGTCGAACAGTCGCTTAAGGTTGGTGAAAGAAGCGGCTAGTTCAGTGATCAATTGCTTGGTATGGTTGAATCGTTCGACCACGACTCTGTTGCTGACCTCTCGAGCATGAAGAAATTTGCTTTCCACGTCACCGGAGGTGACCTTCGTGAGCAATGAGTCTACAGCATAGCTGGAGGTGCTAGCATAAGATACAGATGGGTCGTAAAGGATCGTGTTACACGGAATCGGGCAAGTGCAGTAACGGCGCACGTGGTATAATATCTCATCTGCCATTGGTAGTAGAATGGAAAAAGTGTCAAAACAGTTAAAAAAAAAAAAAAAAAGACGGCGTGGCATTTAACGTGGAAAGCGAAAAAAGACGGCGTGGCATTTAACGTGGAAAGCGAAAAAAGACGGCGTGGCATTTAACGTGGAAAGCGAAAAAAGACGGCGTGGCATTTAACGTGGAAAGCGAAAAAAAGACGGCGTGGCATTTAACGTGGAAATCGAAAAAAGACGGCGTGGCATTTAACGTGGAAATCGAAAAAGACGGCGTGGCATTTAACGTGGAAAGCGAAAAAGACGGCGTGGCATTTAACGCTAAGCGAAAAAAAGACGGCGTGGCATTTAACGCAAAATCAATCATCTGTACCAAGTACGATTAAATTATTTCTTTCAATTTTGGATATTTTTGGTCACTTTTGCCAGGGCAGAAACAAGTTTTATAGTGCGGCAAATATATATATATATATATATATATATATATATATATATTTCAAATAAGTAACATAGCCAAAATGGTTTATACGTTTAATGTCAGATCCATTTTGTTTTTCGATTTTGTTTCAAATTTTCTCGCATTTTATAATGAATATAATAACAGATTAAATTTCATTTTACTTATTTTTTAGATTTCAATACTTGTTCAATCTATGCTGGCATACGAGGAGTGCTGACTCGTGTTTGGTTCAATCCAGAATCATTTCCCCCCAACAAAAATATATTCAAAGAAATAGTGGCTCTCGTCTGATAAGTCGATGTCCACTTATAATGATCTTGATACCTCTTGAAATAAGAATATGCTGCCGGAAAGTTAATACTGTTTTTTGTTTTTCTTTTTTCTGATAAGTTTATATTTTAAATTCAGAGGCAACGGAACTTCTTAATTATTCATGAACACATTCGTGTACAATCGTTATAAAAACGCAATAAATTGTTATCTATATTTCGATAGTATTAACAAAATTTGAAAGTTAATTTTTGAATTCTGGTACGAGTATACATTTAATACGTTTTAGTAAGTTTCAAATATCGTAACCTCTATTTATCGTACTTGTTGGCATTATTAAGAACATTTCCTTTTTCCTTTCGGTTGTAAGTTCGATTTCCCAAATGAGATCAATAATAAATTAATCTAATCTATAAATATCAAAGACACATAATTATCGTGAAAAGGACGTGTATCTACCTTCCTACAGCTATGAGTTAAATTATGGGGGATTTATGGGAGTTTTCTTATGACAACGCCCGTTCCTACCATATATCGCTATATTTGGTTTGAATGTAAATGATTAAAAGAAAATGTACAGAGTGCTGGTAAATGCAAAATAAATATTTATAGAAAGATAAGGTGAAAGTTGGAGTTTCATGAGTTCAAGTGTAAAAGTCCTGGCGTATACGAGAGTGATATAATATATTGTCTATGTCTCCAGGTGTACTAGCTGTCTGTTTAATAATTTGTGTAAAGGAAAGTTTGTACTTTTTTTTAAATTTTTTTTTTTACTTTTTTTTTTTTTTTTTCAAAATGTAGCAACTGGCTACTTAAAAGATGGTGAAATAAAGAATGCGTGTTTGAATTGTGTTGGAACGCTGTAGCTGCAGGCGAGTCGCGTTCCGGATCTGGGTATGTTATGATGACAGCAGCATCGGAGAATGAAAAAAAATAATTCATTGTTTCTGATTTAGGTTGATTTTCAATTTTCATAATTATATATATATATATATATATATATATATATATATATATATATATATATATATATATATTTAGGCAGCAATCCTCCTTTCATGCACATTTCATTGAATACGACACACAAGGTGCTTTTATTTAATTTTTTTTTTATACAATTTCTCATGCGATCTAATTTTTTTTTTCTTTTCAGATGATAAATTATATAAAAACTGTTCGAATGTTCTTTTTATCCGAGCGCTTTCTTTTATACATTTTATAAAACATACATGCAACAAACTATTTCTTATTTAACAGTTAAAATATTTAATCCTTGAAAATGGCTAAATGTAGAGCCCAAAGCGCTCGGATAAAAAGAACATTCAAACAGTTTTTATATAATTTATCATCTGAAAAAAAAAAAAAAAAAAAAAGAAAATTATTATATCGCATAAGAAATTGTATAAAAAAAACTAAATAAAAGCACCTTGTCTGTTGTATTCAATGAAGTGTGTATGTGTGTAATTATATATATATATATATATATATATATATATATATATATATAAGGTTGGTATAGGTGGAATAAACTTCCAGTAACCAAAAATACTAATTTTAAAAAAGTGCTTAATACAGAGTAGAGCAAATAATATTTATTTAAAAATTATAACAAGTATGTTATAACATCACTACAAAAAATAGCCATCTTGTTTCAACACTTCTGGTATTTTGTCACGTGATGGTGTTGCAAGTAAAATAAAATGTTTTTAAATAGTTCAAGACCAACCATTGCCCCCACTAGGAGGATATTTTTACGTAAGATGTAATGGCTAGTCAAATTACAAGTATATGATAATTCAAATAACCCAACAACGGACCCTAGATACAATTTATTAATGTTTTAAAATGAATATTAGATTTTATAGGAATTCAGGATAACTAATTAATCTCCAATTTATTATCTAATTAAAGAATAAAAGTTACGAATATTACACTCTAAATATAACCATGTATCAAAATTATTCAAAGAAAAAACTGGGAAAATATACCTAAATTTTCATGTATTCTTCTTAGAAATATGTTAACTTTTTCGTCCGAATATGAGCGGAAGTAAGAGGTACAATATATGGCTACGGAATCGTTTACATTGACAGGGTCATGATGAGAGATTTAGTCGACGAAGGAGAAAGGTTTATTTGTGACAAGACCTACAGACATCACGTCATAATAGACAAAAACATACACATATGAATAAATTCTTATCAAGTAAATTAAGAAATATGAAATAGAAAGACGTAGTGATAGGAGTATCAATGAACGTAGCATATATTTGGCACAGCCAAGCATGCAAAAGCATATATAAACAAATATACATTTACACAAGCGCGCAACAATAAAAATATCAATGAAGAAAATATATAAATATACGAACATGAACACCCATATATAAACACGAATAAGTGGACATAAAAAAACAAGCACACATAAATACAAACATAAAAACAAGCACTTAGAGAAGTACGCAGATATAGAATAGGATTAGAAACAAATACTCATGTACAAACATACTTGCCAAAACAGCCATATTAAGTTACAACTATTCAATATTAACGAAATAATTCACTTTATACTGGATTCTTAGCAAATAAAGGTAGCTAATAATTAAAAATTTAAGGGCAAAAAAAATGATACCATTTCATCTTTATATATAATCTAGCTAGCTAGAAAGCAAGTTAAAAGGTCATTTATGTCAGCAGTTAACAGTGAGCTCCTTCCTTTGATTTAATAGGTTTATCGTATCCTTAAATTTCATGATTTCTAGCTTTTCATTGAGACAATATTGAGATAATATGGCGCATATAAATAATTACAGGTACGAACTCTTCTAATTAACTTCCATTTAACAGTGGGGGGTATTCTCCTTTAAACTCCAATAGTACTTGGACAGCGATGTAGCATGTTTATGAGAACTATTTTTGAAGGACCAATATAAAACTTTTTAATATTCAGGTTTTCAAGTGAAGAAATGGTATTAAGATAAACCAGGGAACTACTTTGGCAATTGTTTCGTAATGGGCAATCGTTGGGATTCCTATTGATATTATAATATCTAGTATTATTTAATGTATCACTACAGTTCGTCAGGCCTTTGGAAGTTTTATATCTGTTAAATATCTTATTATAATGCTTCTTGATACCATTTTCGTAGAAATTTCGTGTTTTTTTGTATTGAAGATGGTTTGTGAAATATTTTCGACTGATTGTACATTCAAATATTTTGTCATTTAAATTGTTCTGTAACGATGTGATGTATGTAGTTCGCCAGATATTTGCGTGCCATAGATGGAAAACCGCCTGATAAATGTTATGCGGCATGCGCTAAATTTTAGCATTCTCATTTAATTTTTATGCGTATTTACCGTACTAACATGACAACTTCTTTTTTGTTACGGGAAAAGTAAAAGGCATGCAATATTTGCAGCACAATGATTCGGTGATCGCAAGTTGCTTTTGAACGCGGTCACGTGAACAGGAGGAACTACAGCGAACTCAGCGTACTCATGATGTTACAGACAGGAGGCATATTTTTTTCGTTAGAATTTTCTAGGCCGGTTGACATTAAGTTTACCATTTAACATATCAGGGACGTCAACGTGTAACCACTAAAAATACGGTCTATAGTAATGAGACGGATTTTCTTTCTTATCAGGCTTTCATTTGAAGAAACCTTTCCGATAGACCTGGTTGAACTAAAGCGACAATGTTTTCCTTTCTTTCTTACGTGAATTGTACGATCAATCGTAGGTTAAAACGAAATTCACACTTTCCATAATATTTTAACAATGGTTCAATCCATTTCAGACTCACTAACAGTATGCAACCCTTTAAAATTTGGCAATTACTTTGTTCTTGGAGTACGAAGTAATCTTATTGCGTGTGTGTGTGTGATATATATTTAAAAAAATCGAATTGTATATTTTTAGGCCATCAGATTGATTTTTTTTTTTTTTTTTTTTTTAAACGGCATATCAACTTCTTATGGGTGGCTTATTGCTGAAATTTAATTTTCTTGGGAGCTTTGACGTACTATGCTGTATTATTCTGCTTTCACAATTGAAGACATGGTAGATGATGCTCAGCTTTTGTGCATATACATGTTTGTATGGACATAATTACTAGAGGCGGTGATACATGTTTTATGGTGTAGTTTTGTTGAAGTTATATTTTGGAATACAGTTTGACTTCTTTAAATTGTAGGATATATGATTTAATGTCATGAAAAGTCTTTCATTTTGATTGTTTGATTTTGGTTGTTTACTGCTGAAATCTAATTTGTAATTTTATGCCTTCTACTACAGACATAAAATTATTTTTTTTTTTTAGATACATATTTTGTAGATCATAAAATGTATTGTTGGTAATTTTAATATAAAATGTACTGTTTATTTTTGTTTGGGGGTTCACTATTTTCTAGTAGCTGGGACCCCACACTGGGTCAGGATAGGTCTGGGAACAACTGCAATTATGAGGTGGTTCGACGCTCCTCAAAACCTCCACTCTCACGATCAGACTTAGTTAAGCCATTAGACAAATCTCACGATCAGACTTAGTTAAGCCATTAGACAAATCTCACGATCAGACTTAGTTAAGCCATTAGACAAATCTCACGATCAGACTTAGTTAAGCCATTAGACAAATCTCACGATCAGACTTAGTTAAGCCATTAGACAAATCTCACGATCAGACTTAGTTAAGCATTAGACAAATCTCACGATCAGACTTAGTTAAGCCATTAGACAAATCTCACGATCAGACTTAGTTAAGCCATTAGACAAATCTCACGATCAGATTAGTTAAGCCATTAGACAAATCTCACGATCAGACTTAGTTAAGCCATTAGACAAATCTCACGATCAGACTTAGTTAAGCCATTAGACAAATCTCACGATCAGACTTAGTTAAGCCATTAGACAAATCTTCAGACTTAGTTAAGCCATTAGACAAATCTCACGATCAGACTTAGTTAAGCCATTAGACAAATCTCACGATCAGACTTAGTTAAGCCATTAGACAAATCTCACGATCAGACTTAGTTATTAGACCAGACTTAGTTAAGCCACAAATCTCACGATCAGACTTAGTTAAGCCATTAGACAAATCTCACGATCAGACTTAGTTAAGCCATTAGACAAATCTCACGATCAGACTTAGTTAAGCCATTAGACAAATCTCACGATCAGACTTAGTTAAGCCATTAGACAAATCTCACGATCAGACTTAGTTAAGCCATTAGACAAATTCACGATCAGACTTAGTTGCCATTAGACAAATCTCACGATCAGACTTAGTTAAGCCATTAGACAAATCTCACGATCAGACTTAGTTAAGCCATTAGACAAATCTCACGATCAGACTTAGTTAAGCCATTAGACAAATCTCACGATCAGACTTAGTTAAGCCATTAGACAAATCTCACGATCAGACTTAGTTAAGCCATTAGACAAATCTCAAAGACTTAAGTTAAGTTTATTAGACAAATCACGATCAGACTTAGTTAAGCCATTAGACAAATCTCACGATCAGACTTAGTTAAGCCATTAGACAAATCTCACGATCAGACTTAGTTAAGCCATTAGACAAAACAGAAGCATGAGAAAATGTTAAAAATCGGAATTTTCGGACACGCCACCTGCCAATGAAAAAAAGTCAGGTTTAAAGCTTATTATTATTATTATTATTTATGATTTTATATTGTTTTAATCTGGCGAGGGGATGTAAAGTTATTTTTTTAAATATACGATTTCCCAGCACTTCATTCTTTTGTCTGCTGTGGAATTTTCGTATTCATTAATGTATTTGAATGTGTGTGTGATAGTATATCTGTAAATCTAGTATTTTTCGGTTAGTTTTTGGCGTTCGTAGGTGGCTTTTAGCGGAAATTGTATTTATAGAGTATACCTAAGATTTCTATTTAAACCTAGAATGTGTGAATTTATTTTAAGAAAGAATTTGAACTCTAACATTCAGCGATTTTGTTGGAATGTAAATGAAGACGTTAAAATGACGTATCTAACGTTATCAATACTATGGTCGGATTGGTTGAAATGTGCAGCTGTAGGAAAACTGATGTAATTGTCTTTGATAGTTTTACCTGTGGTTCTTAAACCAAAGATTGAATTCTGTACCAGTTTCACCGATATAATGTCTTTCGTTGCATTTCTTTCAAAAATGTAAATATATTTGAGCAGTCACAAATCAAGGAAAGACGTTAGATGACTATACGTGTGTCAGTTGTAGTAAAAATACTTAGTGATAATGGTTAAAAACTTGGCATCGGGTTTTATTGTGTTACATTGCCTTGGCGAGTGGGTGATTTGGGTAACACAATTGCTATATATATATATATATATATATATATATACGCAATAAATTTCAAGTGGATGATTTGGGTTGTCTAGATGAAGTAAGGAGTGATTGTAGATCTAGATGTTGTCGCCTGACGTTAGGTCGGACTTCACTGACACTCATTAAATGTGGGATCTAGTTTTCGGTACTAGGAATCATTAAGATAAGAGATATTTTAATTACAGCATTCACAAACTAAAAACCATGGGAGTAGAGTATCTCTGTGTTTAGAAGATTTAGTGATTGATTTTTTTTAAAATTATTTTCAGGAGATAATTTCTATTGAGAAAATGATTGATCAGATGCCCTGTTTTTTTCACAATCCAGTTAGAACAGATACATTTCATGCATAAATATTGGCTGTAGATTATTGATTTTATTTTATTTTTTTTAAAGTTGATCAGGGTGGCAGTTGCTAAAATTTAAGTTCCATCAACCACCTGTAGGTTTGGTGTGTCGTGATGTGGTTGTTGTTGAGACGTACACACACACACTTATATATAAAGGATATTACACCGAAATTCCATGTTAGAGTATTAAATAAATGTAAACAGTGCTCAACCCTAGGGGAGCAAAATTTCGGTGTAATATCCTAAAATAAATAATATTGCTCTACTTTGTATTGAGCCCTCTTTTAAATTAAATGTTACGAAGGTTGGAATTGTACTCTTTTCGTTCGCATCTTACTTTTATTATTTATCCATTTTTTCATGATGTACGCTTTTGCGCCTTACAGTTCTTTTTCTAAAAGAATGCGTCAGAGTGCCGGAAGTTCGAAAGTAAGTACACGAAACGCCTATTTTGAAAGTCGTGTCGCGGGAAACAGTACGTTAATGGACAAATAATCTACAAAATGTTGTGTATTAAAATACTTTTTCAGAAGTATTTAAAACAGTCGTATTAACAAATAAAAAGTCCATCCCTTTCCTTATATATATGTTTAAAAAAAAAATTACTGTCTGATTACACTAAATTATATAATGTAGTGTAATCAAACAGTAATTGTTTCTTTAAACATGTTTTATTGAAGAATATGGGTATTCTATGTCCATTAAACTTAACCATCATATTTTCTAAACTGAACAATCCTTCGCAAAATCAATGCTGTGTCGAAGATTTCGACTAACAGAAGTCCTCAGCAGTGGTGTGTACAATTAAAGCAAGCTGAAGAAAAAGTGTTTTAAGCGGTACATTGTTAAAGTTTGCGGAGGATTGTTCAGTTTAGAAAAGAAGCTAATGGTTATCTTTTAATATACATACAATATCTATACTTTTCAATAAAACATAAGATAATGATCAACAAAAGATTAACGGCAATTATCTGTATTATATTGGGTTCTTTCCTTATATATATAAAATATGTTTAAAAAAACAATTACTGTCTGATTTCTTTAAATTTCTGAGGAGCATCTCGCAAATCTACACTGTCAGAAAATAAAAATGCATCTCATTGAAGAATAATAGTGATTTCCTCCCCCTACAATTTGTGCATGCTCAGTGGTAGTAGATATGCTGATAACATGTTCAGTCTTCGGCCATCTTGTAACGCATGCCACAATAAGAATAAGCGCAGTGAAGGCAGGTATCATGCGACGGAGATGCGTACACATGCCTCTTTTGTTCAATTAGAATTATTTGAAAAGGGGCCGGATTCTATGCTTTTCGAGGGGTTAGATGGTCATTGAATGTGAAGCGTTCGTGGTGCTTCGATGCCGTCAACATTTGTCAAATTAATATTTCTACACTTGCAAATCAGGTTACGGATGATTACATAGTACAGACGCTGGTCAAGATCGACGCATTGTAAGATGAGAAAAGAGTAGACAAATGTGACTACGAGCGGCGTCAACATGGAATGCTGAGAATCGTTTATTTTTTTTCAAAGGGTCTGCAGGCACTATTGGCTTCAAGCCAGACTACCACTTATTCAATAACATCGTCTCTCGTTTGTGACGTATAACTCCAGAAGCGACATTTTTCAGAGTGTACCATAGGTTACAACTATCGCTTGCCTTTTGAAGCGAACATTGGACAATGCTTCGTATATCCAGAACGTCGTTCTGCTGTTACAACAGAATAATACCCACCCGCATGTGGCCTGTACTTCTGAACATGCTTTGGAAATTTATTTGCTGAAACAGTCGCTAAGCCTATCTGTTCTTTGGCATTAGTAGAACGACGCTCGACTTGTTTATTTTAGCCCATCTACAACTCGTGTTGCATTGAGCCAGTAGGTGCACGAGACATTGAATAATGCATAGTAGGATAGTATTTTGGACAGTGAGTTGGATCAAGGACTTATATATGAGAGAGACTGAGACTGTTTCGCTGTATCACAGCGTGGTTAGATATCTGATTTCGTCAAGCAATCGGATGTCTAGATCGAAACCTCGAGCGATTTGGCATCAGTCAGAGACTCTACTTCTAAACTATCGGCGCGATGTATATAAACGCTAAATCAGCAGGATGTATTATTATGATTAAATATAAATGCTCTGCCATAGTGACACTGAGCTATTTCTTCCGCTGTACTATCTTAAGTAACCTTTCAGGAATTATATATATATATTTTCTTACAACGGAAAAAATAGCTCAGTGTCGCAACGGCAGAGCATTTATATCTAATCATCATAATACATCCAACCGATCGCAACTGACAGTTTTTTGTGCCTTATGCTAAGAGTGTGTGCATAGAGCTCAAGAAACTCAGTTGTGATCGGTTGGATGTACACCGGATTATTATGATAAATATCTCTGTGTATATGTTTTGATCTTGATTAGAAATTCAGTAAATAATTATTATAAGTAAAGAATTTAACTTAAAGTTACTTTGAAGGAAAGAAAAAAAAATGTTAATGCATTTAAAGATTCGAAAAAAAAAAAAAAAAGAAATTTCACTGACCTCTTTTTGGCAAGTAACATTCAAAATATTGCTGCAAGGTGCATACTGGTGGAACTCCTATTAAGAAAGAGGGAAAGCAGAAAAAACCTTTTTTCTTTCGATTTATTTATTGTAAATAAAGTTTCAAAATTAGGAGTAAACAAAGATGGTTATTATTGAAATAAGAAGAGTGTCTAGCAGGGTTATTAGAATGGGCAACAAGTAGCAAATCTGGTTACATTAGAAAGCTCAGCATTATAATTTTTTTTTAATTGATTTTCTTATTAGTCACTCAAGTTGGTCGAATGTTGAAAATTTAACCCCCCCCATCAACTTCGTAAAAATCTAAATTCAAAATTAAGTAGCTCTGAGCTTTGAAATGTAGCACAATTCTAGTGAATGATACTTCGAATGGGAATGGCATGCTCGAAAATGGCATTCAAAATCCTAGTTTTGAATTGACCTTGAACACAGACCATAAGCGTTGGTATATAATATATAACAGCTTTAGCCATTAAAAAAAAATGAAATACGCTTATATATATATATATATATATATATATATAAGCGTAAGAAACTGCAAACGTTTTTGGTAGTAATGTGGATTTAAAAAAAAATATTATGCTTTATTTTCCATCATTTTTCTACATGTTTTTCCGGTCTCGCGACCGTCATCAAGCAAAAGGTGGTGATTTCCAAATATTATTAAAAATAATTAATTTTTTTCTTTGTTTTGTGATGTTAAATATTCTCGATATGAGACATTTTTTGTTTTGTTTGTTTGTTAGTGACCCAAATATCTTTCTTGAACTAGCAGTGAAAAGTTCTGCGTGAAGGGTTATAGAACAATTAAGATTGGTACGAGAAACGGTGAAGTAGTTATCGGCATTCTTATCTTTTAAATGACCCATGTGTGTTCTTAGATCTATTTCCATTTTCTTGTGTTTTTGTCAGCATGCGTGTATATATGTGTATGTTCCCTCTCCATACATACAGACTGTCTCACTACGAGGAATTAGTAAACACATTTGTACACACACACACACACACACACACACACAGTCCCATTACAAGGAATCAGTACTTACTTGTAAATCGAATATGCCGATTCCGCACCTGAATCCATGTGTCCGAGTATATCAGATTTTGAGCATAGGGTATTTATGGCCAGTGTAAATATTATGTTAATATTAGTATTGTATTTAGTATATTTATGTTCAAGGTAAATAGCATATTATTAAATAGTACATCTATGCTGAATATTGTGATGGGAAATACCCGAATAAACATAAAATACTGACTTTATTCATGTATGTTGTGGGTTACCGTCACTTGGTGTTGTCAAGATATCGTTAGATGGCGCTGTTAAACAGCTATAAAAACGGGACACTCCTGTCTTCGTTCCTTCTATCATACGATAAAAATGACATCAAACGGGACCTTTTCTCTTATTGACCGAACTTTCACACATACAATTCATAATTGCTAACTTTTAATTTCTTTCTTTTACGTACACACTAATGTATTTTCTTTCCTTTGTTAATCAGTCAATTGTTATGTACCAAACATATGAAAATATCGCCTCATTGAAATATATTTCGTTTCCTTTCAACTCTACCAATAATGACGACTCGTCATTTACATGTGAAAATTTTGTTTGTCACTGCTTTTAGTTTTTTTAATCATCAATGCTCCCCAAGCAAGGCGATAATACGACTGTCGCAAGAGGCTACTGGTAGTAAAAGAGAATGAAAACATTTCAGAGGAGACCGGAAACACAACCCTAAACAAGGAATAAACCTCTATTCCTCTTCAAAAGAACGGAGAAAAAGTGTGAACCAGACGTTAAACTAGTAGCAGTACCGTAACAATCTTCAGAAATGTTAGCGACATTTGTGCACTTGCTTGTGTGTTGTGCTCGCCCTCCATTTTTAGAACCAGCAATAGTCACGTATCATATTTGGATTGAAGATGCTTTGATCTCCTCTCAAATATGTCCTGGTGGAACCTCTCACCATGATAATCACTTCCGGCACTCTAATCCGTTAGGGGAGGGAGAGAAAAAAGAACCGAAATGAAGCTAAAAGAAGTGCATTTTAAGCGACATCAAACACCCCATTATTGGATGTGCTGTTATCATATCGTTCATTAAAATCAACATTGGTAGTTTTCAGCTCGTTGATACTCAAGAATGTTTAGCACAATGAACGCGAATGAATCCAATTGCCGCCAACTCAAGTGGATATTAATATAGTTTTTACCTTTAAAATAATGGGCCACGTGCCCATTATGTTAAAGGTAAACACGAGACCCGAGTTCGTGTCTCACCATTGTCGATTTGTCAGGAAGTTGACTTCTTGATATTATCAGTCTGGAGGGGTCGATCCCGACATGCGACACCTTTGGAAAGTGCCTGAAAACCATACCACTGGTTGACCCAAACTGTAGACGGAACCCTTGGGGTGGGGGTGTTCGTCGATGGCTGTGCTAGCACAAGTCATCGTGACTGAGGGTTTGGGCGTGCTGGCATTGTTCAGATTGTTGATCCCGCTAGATAACATACTTCTTTTCCAGAAACTGTAACTAAGGTCTGCTCAGCAGGTTTCAGTATAAGCCACAGGTGGATGTTGAATAAACACAAAATGCAAGCTCCTGCAATAGTAGACCAGTATCTTCGAATACGAGTGGCCAGCCATTAACCTTTAACATAAATATGCACATAATTAAATCAACTTACTCGGTTTAGTCTCGTACACTAACTAATTACCTTGGTAACAGAAAAAAAGGTATGATTAATAGATATATACCTAATTAGGGAGACTAAAAGATTTCTGGGTTCTAAAACGATTTTCGTAATGGAAATGGAATCATTTTAGTCGATTTTGTTTAAAACATATTTTGGCACTTCGACGTGGTTTACTAAGCTTTTTTCGTTAGATCGATTGCGAATAATGAGTTTGATGCTCACTGAGTGCCCCGTTTTTGCCATTTCCTACCACATCTAAGCTACGCTTAGTAAATATCCTACCTGTACTTTGTATCTGCTAGTAAATTTTGTCTTTTTGCTATCTCTTCTAACCCCTGTTCTGCCAATAAAAAAACAAAAAACAAAAACAAAAAAACTCGCTAGTTAGGTTATGCGCTGTTTTTCTTTATCCCTTTATGTCCTATAAGTGTCAAATTTCCCAAGCCGCCTTTTTTCACCGTGATTAATGGGTTTAGTTTGAATTCTAATTGAGTTGTAAAGTATTTATATTGTGAGAAATGTCAAGCAATACAGTAGCAAGTTGTCTGATCAGCAGGATCCATTTTTAAGTCTGCATACATTTGAAAATTGATATTCAACAGTCAGTCCATAACATGACAATACAAAGATTAACAAGAATGACTGTATAAAGCGTTAGCAAATTATCCCAGTGTGTGTGGGGGGGGGAGGAGGAGGAGGAGATCTTATTTATTAGTTTTTTGATATCTTCCATTTCATAAAGCTCTATACATAATTGTTTCTGACAGGAGGGAAACTGATAATTAAGCAAAGATTCTGTGTTTCTGGGATGGGGGATTTGTAAATGTCAACACAGTTTGTATGCTCTGTATTCAACATTCAGGAAAACAAGGAAAATGAGATCAGTTTAAAAATATGCAAGAGTTACTGACAGGCAGAATAAGCCAATTATATATATATATATATATAAGAAGAATAATTTACATTAATGGGTTGGGTTGGATGATTTTACCAATCATCAACTCTTATGGGATTAATTGATGTCGAAATCAGTTTATTTTATTGTTATTAGTATTATCAACAATAGTAATAGTACGTAAGCGTTTGCTACCGCAATACATGCTTACACTCTCAAATAATAACAGGCTTATTTCGTAATTAATTAATCCAACAGAGGTTAATATGTGTGTGGTATAACGGATATCGGTGCAGAAATGAATCAGCGGGCAGAGTTCAAATTCCAGGCTAATTTTTGCGTTCAATTTCGAACTAACGCTCTTCGGGAAAGGTATGCATCCATCCCAGCCGCACCTATAGGTCAAAAACCAGGGTAGAGCGTGCTGTCTATCCTTGGGTTGCGACCCGTCTAAGAGAAGGGAAACTGAACTATGGAGAAAGCAACGGGAGACCACTCCACTATCTACCTCAAGAATGTATGGCAATTCACAGATAATAAAGGAAAGCATTCTGTGGCGAGCCATGAGCAGCTACATCTCTAATGGAAAAGGCATTGAAACAAAAACAAAAAACATTTACTTGGTTCGTGGGTACGTAAATATTGGTCGTTTTTATTTGAGTCTAAGAATTTACTTGGTAGGTGACTCTTTATCTCAGGAGTGTATTTTCAGTGTCCCCCGATATGATAGTTACATTAAATTGCAGACAAAATGATTTTGATCCATGTCGCATCTCATTATTGTCAAGGTGCGAGGCAAAGGCGTGTAATCGTTAGCTCCATCTTTACTAATTTAAATGCTATTTAGTTGCAATATGGCGCCTAGAAATTGGGTAATGGTTAACGAGCGTGTCTTGTTGACTAATGAGTTGTGAATTTTAATTTGCTGGTGGTGAATACAGTTAGAGAAGTCCGCCAGCAGAGTTTTAATTTATATTCACTTGCGCACAAATACCCTGGGGAAAAGTAAGAATCCGTTTCATCTTACCTCAGTTGTGTGCTAAAAAGCAGTTGCCGACTAGGCTCTCTAGCCTTGATTAGCAATCAGTATAGGAGAAAGACAACTCGAAACTATATGTGACCCAAGTGGGGCACACACTTCTACTGTGAGTAAGGTCCTTTTTAGTATAGTTTCAGAATAAAGCAAAAGGTTGACTCTGAAAACAAATTGGTCTGAGTGGACAGGCATACTCTGGAACGAGCAACCATGCCGAAGATGAGAAATCACACTAATTTGCGGCAGTCCAGGATGAAACGGGGTATGAGCAACTAAGCTGCTCGAGATTGCATATGTTGTCTAAAATTGTCCAGAATCATTACAGCTGATATCGATTAACATTGTTAACTTAGTCAAAAACTTGTCAATACAGATTGGTATAACGTCTCACATAGTATGAATGATTACTATAAAAGTACTTTATTACTCTAGAGTCTAGATCAGTGTTTCACAACATTTATTTTTTACTTCAGGGCGCACTTGTTGAAAAAACTAAAATGTGGAGCGTTTTAATAAGGAAAAATTAGACAACATTTGAAAATATGAAATTTTGGTTTCGAAATCCCAAAGATTAGCGGCACAGTTTTCATTTAAAGAAATTTATGAAGAATTTGCTATTTTTTTAAAAAATTTCTTAGTTGAGGCCGATAATGACTGATTTAAATCCCTTAGGATAGCAAAAAGGAAAGGATTATCCACTCCTTCTTAAGATTAAGGAATTTATGCAACCAGTTTAAAATATAAAATGACAGACTTAACTTAGACATGGGAGCCATATGCTTGGTGTCTCTAGCTTTTTTAAAAAAATACGACTTTTTAAAAATATAAAAATAATTCTTACTTGGGGCGCCCCTGGCTACCGTTCAGGGTGCATTAATGCTCCAGTGTGCACCGGTTGAGAAATGCTGCTCTAGAGCAATAAATTCCAAAAGCATATGGATGTTGACAATCTATTGGTTGTGGGTTCAATCCTCATTTGATGCCCCACTCTCGTAACCTTGTGCTAAACTTTGTAAAAGCTACTAAGTTTTGGAATTCGCTACTCGTTACTTTGTGGCCTATTTTTAAAATAAGCTGGACTAGTTTGGACGGACTACTAATGAGAAGAGAGTCGGTTCAAAATTTAGTGGCTTTGAGCTTTCAAATGTAACCAAATTCCTTATTTAATGGTTCAACCTGGTTACCCTGCGGGGGTGTTAAATGTCAAGTAGTTCAAAAGGGTGAGTGTGCGAGGCGGGGTTGAAATGAAAAGCAGTTCGAAAGGGCGGGTGCGCGAGGCAGGGGTGAAATGAGAAGCAGGTCGAAAGTAATACTGCATACATACCATATTTGTGAGGCATGAATTTCAGTCTGCATTTACAAATTTTATGCAAATGTTCAGTGAAGCAGTCGATCTCGCAGTTTTCTGGCGTGTAATCTGGAAAGAATTTCAAATCTTTGCTACTGCAGTTTCCTCGTGGCTCAGGCAAGTTGCTCAGCTAAAGAAGGAAAAATACATTTCTTGATATTTGCATTATTTACAGAAAATCTGTCCCAATACTCTATCATTTGAAAGAATGTATATCAAGATAGGAAGATGAATTAACTATCATAAAATGCAGTATTCTAAGCATAATATTAACGGAATTGTGCTTTCAATATTTTTTTTTTTTTTTATGACAAAACAAAAATATTTAATGGTTTTTGTTTTAAACCAAAAGGACATGAAAACAATCTTGCTAAACCTAGTCCTTGTCAAGATTTGGCTAATAAAGAATTGTTTATTCAATAAATAATATTTAAATTCTTTAAGTATTATTTACTAGAAATGTCCATCAAAATTTGGTTTTCCTATTTGAATTTTCTGATGAATCTTAATTCGTAACTTAATGATTAAATGAGCTCATGGCGAGTTATATCTTCTATTGCATCGTTAAATAATTGAGCTTGACAACTTTAATAACAAAATATTGCAATAAAAATCATAAATATGAATGCGGGTCGTTATTTAAAGAAGTAAGGGGGTATAAGTGAAAAGATTTGAAATTGACGACTTTTTCTATTTCACTTTCATTTTATGACTGAAACCAAGTAACATCTCTGATGTCTTTTCCATCTTATCACACGGGATCAAAACGGAATAGTCCATTATTCATGAGGTATTGGCAATACGTACGTGCATACGCACGCGCTAACTAAGGGAGGGACAAGTAGAATTATAAGACTATATGGGTGCACGGCCGAGAGTGGTTTGCTTTTCGACCACGAGACCCGGATGCGAATCTCATTATGTCGTGCCATGTTATAGGCCTGGAGAGGTGAACCTAGCGCTGGAAAATTACTGAAAAACCACGTCGTATTTTGATCCAAGCCTTGCTAGTGAAATTGCGTAGACAGAACTATTTATTGAAGATTTTGTTAGCACGAAGGCACAAGCCATTGTGACCGAGGGTGTGAGCGTACTGGCCTTGTTCAAACTGTTGATCACGCCAAATGATGCGCTCTCTCCAAGAAACTGTAAGGTCTACTCAGTGTAGTTTCAGTATAAACCACGTATGGGTGTCTTGAGCCGGCGTTTGCAACAGGGATCGGATAGACAGATATGAAGTGCCAGTCATTATTATTTATTATTCTGAAGATGATGCAAATAAGCATCGAAATACTATGATTTATATTATAGGAATGATGTATGCAAGCATCGAATTATTAACTTTCCGAGAGTGATGTAAATAAACATCGAATTAGTAAGAACATTATGGTTTGGTGATGAAATAATGTTTGCGCATTTTTTAAAAGATAGTTTCTTTGTTTAATTCTCATTATATTTTATTTCTGTCCGTAGAATTTTTGTACACCAATTCACCCCCGCTTAATTTGGACTTTTGCCCTTCGAACTTAAGTAAACATCGAGGAAATTTGGCCTGTTTTTTTTTTTTTTTTAAAATAATAATATAAGCTTTGTTCATTCAACTACTACAATGATTCTAACATCTAGTCACAAAAATTCGGACAAGGTTAGTAAAAGCTTTATTTACCGATACAATTTTTAGTCCTACAAAGGCATGTGTTCCAGTCGGTGTGGCCAGTCCGAGCTCGTGGACTTTTGGAAATTCACCGTTATTATGCATGAGAATTTTAACTCCAGCAGCATCGTGAGGTCCCGGCATATACTCGTATTGTTCAACGTTAAGTAACAGTCGAAGGCCGTTGTCAGCTCCTGAACATAGAAAAAAAATATATATTACGTTCAGTCATAAACAATTTTTGTTTTTTCTTTATCTTTCAAAAAGAAAGAAAGAAAAAACAAATACAATTAGATTTTATTCAATGATATAGTCGCCATTATTTGCTATGGTTCGTCGCCACTTAAAATGTATTAAGGACGGAATAATGAGTAAAATTTTGCGGGTTTTGATGTGAAAGAGAGTTCGACGAAGTCTTGAATCTGGTTTTCATTAGAGGAAGCTTTATTCATCAAAGCATTTTGCAGCAATTAAAAAAAAGGTAATAATCCGTTATTGCAAAGTCAGGCGAATATGGCAAGTAGGCTAGCACAGACCAACCGAGTTCCAATTTTTTTTGTGTGTGTTACTCTTGTTGTATATGGTTTTTTGTTGTTATAGAGAACATTTTTAATCCATTGTGTTCACTGCCAAAGCAAAAACTAAGGTATGTTAGTATACTCCAAATTTATTCTTAACTGCCGCGTATTAGTAGTTAAGATGATGTATTTTACATTACAATTGGTTGCCCAAAACTGAAGTTACATGACATACATATATATATATATAATGTGTGTGAAATGTATTTAATATTTTTATGAAATATTACGCAATAATTACATGTTCTAGAAAAGCAACAAAAATGAGCACTACTGAAAAAAAATTCAAATCACCGATTTGAGTTCTTGTTTAAATGTCGTTTGGGTAGACAGCTGTAATTCTGTTATCATCGTGTCAATTTTTTGCAGTCCTCTAGAAATGTCCCCTTTTCAGTTTTCTTTCAATTTTCTGACAGGTGATTTTCTTAGAATTTCTGGTGACTAGATCTGGTCTACTGACATGAATTGGGAAATACCTCAATCTTTTTCATGATTCAAACCGGTATCCTCTGCCACGATAGTCCACAGGAACCACTATTTCCGGTTATACCAGCGTGACATCTCCCCTCACAACAACTGCCTATTCGGGACTGCACGCAATACATATAAACGTGTCCTCGAAGTTGCTAAGTGTCTGTTTGCCGAGAGAATGAGGCACCGTATTGCATCTAACAACTTTGGCTCTCGTGATTACTGGCGGCTCTGTAATAGTGTTTTAAATAAGTTTTCTGTGCCTCCTCACTTCAATCAGTTGGAAGTATTAACATTTTCTGTTGATAAAGCTGAATGTTTCACCCGTAAATCCTCTACTCTTCACTCATCTGGAGTATCCTTGCCTAACTTAACCCTTAGAACTCTTTCATATGCATATAACCTCTTTTCCATGGTTTCTGCTATCATCTCTTAATCTAGATCCCCATAAAGTATGTGAACCTGAGAGTAATAATCCTTAAGTAGTGTGCTCCCGAACTGGCTCCTGTTCTCTCTAAACTGTATAATAAATTTCACTCTGCCTCTTGCTTTTCTGCCTTCTGGAAATCCTCATCTGTTTTTCCAGTTTTTGATTAGAAGTTTTCCAAAAAGAGATAGAAAGCTAGAGTCCCTAATCAATGCTGAATTGGTTAAGCATCTCACATCGCAGGACTTTTTTTTATGACAAGCAACATGGCTTTCGTTACTCCAGGTCAACTGCTGATGTACTAACAATAATCTCAGAAAAAGTCTATCAACCTCTAGATAAGATTGCTGAAGCTCGGCCCGTAGCTTTGGACATCTCGATAGTTTTCGACAATTTGGCATGCAGGTGTTCCTCACAAGTTGAAAAAGTTATGGTGTCTCCGGATACATTTTTGAACTGATCCAGTTTTTCAAATCGCAAAATGAAAGTTATCCTGAACGGCCACTCTTCTAGATCCTTTTGTGTTAATGCAGGTGCCCTGCTCTGGCTCTATCCTTGGCCCTACATTGTTTTTCCTTATCCTTAACGTCCTGCCCGATGGCATCAGCTCTCAACTTGATATCTATACTGATAACACAACCATTTACTCCTGTATCGATAGTAAGTTTGATCAGTTCGTTATGGTCAAATTGGCGACTGATGTCAAAACGACCTTCAGTCTGCTGTTAATTGAGGCAAAGGATGGCTTGTTAATTTTAACACCTCAGAAACGAAACTGCTCTTTATTAATCATCTGAGAGACCCTTTTTTGCTTTCCATCAGCATGGCTGATGCTAACCTTCAGGAGAGTGACTCGTTGCTCTTTCTCGGGCTATTGTTCTCAGCTGACATGAAATAGAAAGACTATATCGAATCCATTGCGAGGCCAGCTGCTAAGAAAATTGATTCAATCTGTCGTACTAGACAATTTTTCTCTTTCAGAATCTATCTTGCATATCTATAAGCCTGCCATTCATCCAGGCTTAGAATATTGCTGCCACGTATGATCCGGTGCTCCTGCTATATATCTAAAGCTCCTTGATAAAATCCAAAGAAGAATCAGCAATATTATTGGGATTGATCTGACGTTTCAGTCACTTTCCTACCGCCGTAAAGATGCCCCCCCCCCGTGCTTTTTTCTACAAATACTTTCATGGTAATTGTTCGAATAAGCTCTTCGCTATGGTACTATTTGAATTTAAGCCCAGCATTAGAATGGCGACGAGGTCTCATCAATTTACAGTTGAGTTGGCTAAGTTACATGCTAAGTTTCTTTTACCGCACTTCTCGCTTGTGGGACTCGCTTTCAGTTTTACGCCTTCCAGCCAATTTTAATGTTCAAAAATTTAAGTGCAATATCAATCGCTATCTACTGTCTTCCTGATTACTCTTTTTGTTCTCGTTTCTTAATGTTTTTGTTTTTTTCCAATTCTTCCACACCCAGTAACCTTTTGCCTTAGTGGCTTTACTGCCTTGCTCGGAAGTGAACTTTATTACCTCCTCCCAAAACGTTTCCTTGCATTCAAATTATAAATCTGGGTTTCTCGGCGGACTGAAATTCTCCTAACAGCATAAGTTTGATAAAGTATGTACGCATGCGCTATGTTAGGCTGTTTGTCTTAATAGATAAACAAGTTACTTTAGCTTTGCACCTGTGATAATATTACAAGAGCCACATAGTTTTTTGTAGATTATCTCGGATATCATCGTCTTTGCCATCTGGTATATTCTTTAAAGTCCATGAAAAAGAAGAAAAATTAAGCTTATATCTTCAGAGAGGCCATTCCTTTGAAAATGTCGGAACGCTTTTCAATCTAAACATTTCCTTGAGAACAGCACAACATTAAACATACAGGGGTCATTTTAAAGTTATCGGCTGTTTGTTTGTTTTTACTTTTTTTTCATTGCAGTACATACATGAAGACCTGATTTTTCGACCTACCTGTCGTGGCTGCCTTTCTCAAATCTCCGTTCGATTCTTGGCTGAATGTATAACAAACGCCATGATCGGTGATGACCATTGTGAAATTTTCCGGTCCACATAATTCTCCTCCCCACGAACATCTGTGTGTGGAATTAAAAAAAAAAAATATAGTTTTGGCCTACGGTATATGAGTTAAGATTTAGTTACAAAGATAACTATTAAATGTAAAATGAATCACTCTTCATTAAAAATGATCTCAGTTTGAGATCAGTTTTCGGCAATTTTTAACCTTCGTGCCTACAAAAAAAACAAACAAAAACACTGTGTCAAAAGAGCGGTTGCTCTCTTGACACTGATATTACTGTATACACATTTAATTCTCTCGGCAATGTTTATTTTCAAGATTATAAGAATATGTAAATCAAGCTGCTTGTGGTATTTATTATTTACTTTTTATAAAGATTTATTACCATTTTATAAAGAAATGAATTTTATAAAGATTTATTTATTACCATTTTATAAAGAAATGAATTTTATAAAGATTTATTTATTACCATTTTATAAAGAAATGAATTTTATAAAGATTTATTTATTACCATTTTATAAAGAAATGAATTTTATAAAGATTTATTTATTACCATTTTATAAAAAATGAATTTTATAAAGATTTATTTTTACCATTTTATAAAGAAATGAATTTTATAAAGATTTATTTATTACCATTTTATAAAGATATCTTTTTATTCCATTTTTAAAAGATTTTTTTAAAAAAATACAAAATTGTCAAAATATGTACATAGCTATTTATTTAATTAGCTTACACTATTTACATTGTTCGGACAGGTGTCCTCATCTCTGTTGCGATATTCACAAAGTTTCGGCCGTTGTACGCCCTGGCTTTCTTCAGGTGATGAGGACAAGAGTTTTCAAAGACGAGGACAACAGTCCGAACAATGTAAATAGTTACAATAACATATCATCTCAGACAGTTAATTAGATTGAATAAAAATATAAATATCTTTGTTGTCAATTCTCAAGAATAAAGAAAATGTATAAATTTATTTTCATATGTTTAGGTTTTATTAAAATTCTAATTATAGCTTTTTAAAAACAAACATTGCCGAGGGAGTCAAAGTGTATACAGTAATAATGGTGTCATAGGAATAATCGTCTTTTTTACATGCCGTTTTTTTGTGGGCACGAAGGTTAAACATTGTCCAGTTTTCGTTATATGATAGAACTAAGGATAGTATATGTCATTAATTCGTTACTGGAAACAGGAAGAAATGCTCTAAAACGAGGTGTATTTGCGCATGCACACTGATTTGAATAGAAGATTGATGTTTGGGTATTGGCATGCCAGGCAAATTAAAGAGAATGAAACGTAAAAAAATCGTTTGCTCAGAGACGTGCGCACACAGAATGCTAGCGATGAATTGGCTATACTTACGAAACTATCAAATCCTCTTTTTGATGGGACACTGACGTGAAAAGCTTGTAGAAGGTTAAATTATTGGCTTGGTATTTCCGTAGGAAAGTAGAATTGACCGGACCCGTCCGTGTGTAAAGACTATCCAGTAATTCGTATTGTCCTTTCTGGGATGCTTTTGATATCCTGTGGTATAGAAAATCCTGGTTTTGATTAATGCTTAATAAAAATAAGTCAAGATAATAAATAAAACGACAATACTGCTGAACGAGTCATTGAAGATAAATATCTTTTCCCCATCTTCAAAGAAACAAGATCCCAACGAATTACTTTTTCTTTTATGAGTTTTTGAATATTGAACATTCTGAATAAAATAAAACTTTGTTCTCAGTTTTCACGAAGCATTTCAACTGGTTTGTTTGTAGGTTAAAATAGTTAATTATTACCAATTGGTTCTAACAGTCATGACACTAACCCAACTCGAAACAAAATTTGAAATGTCGATTTTCAAAACAGTCTCCATTCACTTGGGAGATTAACGCAACACAGGAACTAGACTTGGTAAAACTGCGCATCTTTTTGTCATTCTGTCTTAATTTCTCTCTATCTTGCATATATTATTTAACTAGCTCAAAAGTCACCATATCGGGCTGCATTTAAGCTGTGATGAGCTCTTGATCGAGCCTTCATCACAATAGACAGGGACGAGTAGATGTGATAGGCAACAATATTGATCGCTGCATTTAAGTATTGCATTTACGCAGATTCAAAGCTCAATGTAACTATAAATGTATTATTGAGATGTAAATATAAAGACAAAGCAGAATTATATGATACTTCTGCTTACATCTTTTTTCCTTTTACAATAGCCTCCTATCTACACTCTATATTTTGAGTTTACACTCCAATAATATATTAAGTTTATATTAACTTTGAGCTTTGAATATGCGTTTAATTTAGCGTTCTTCTCGTGAGACCCAGTATTTAAAAAAAAACAAACAAACAACCGTAATAAGTCTTTCATTCACCAGTTCATGTCTGACGACTTGGGAAATCATGAAACTTTAAGTTGCACTATAAACGTAGGTATATGTATACTTATTAATATATACTTCTTAGCTCTAACTACATTGACCACCGTTTTGTTTACACCTTATATTAAATTAAGTATATATTTATTCGCTTATCTGTGTATGCACGCTAACGCACGCATATACAGTTGCTAATATTTATTTGGTTTATATCCACACACACACACACACACATATAACACGGCATTTGTCACATATGCACACGCGTACAAAGAGAAAAAAAATCAATAATAATAGCATCCCAACTAGTGCATCAATTGCAAACTTAGTCGAATGATGATGAAAAATCGGCAGTCACTTGCTGAAACCTCCTGAAGAGTGGACTGAATTACAAAAATGTAATCTACGAAACTCTACAGTCGAAGAGCTGAATATAACATCAAATAACTAAGTGAAAAATTATATATGTGGGGTATAAGATGGTATAGTAACTGTCAGTTTCACGCTTCCATGTAATCTTCAGATCTTGGTTTCAAACTTTGTCCGAAGATCACATCTATATATTGAGCACCTTCTCACCCTATAAATAAAGCAAATCTTAAACAATTTGTTTGGCATCAACGATTCAGGTTTTTATGCAGCATAAATTAAATATATCTATTAATGAATTCAGTCGATTTATCTGAACCTGACGAATGGTGTATCTTTGAAACTTAGCGCTGTTTCAAAGACAAGTCTTTTGAACTTTTCTCCATTTGTTGATAGAGGTATAAAACTTTTTAATTCTCTCGTTGATTTCGTCGTATAAGAGTCCAATAGTTTGGTTTGGGACTGACCAGCTACACCAACTCACAACGATGATATGATTATAGTGGTGAAGGCTTGTGTAGAACCAGCCACATGTTTTTGGAAGAACTGATATCAACTATGGTGTAAAGTGCGTGAAGAAGTCTCCAAACAATCCTCCTTGGGTTTCAATTCAGCTTTCTTTTGCTAACACTGGCTACTACTCAAGGTAAAAAGGGTCCAGTCTGTCCTGCTATTTAACCCATAACTGGAGGAAGATAGTCATGTCTTTTTCCAAGGGCATTAACGCGAAATGAACGAAAGAGAATTGACAACAATTTGAACTCGCTGAGTCCACTTTTCGCGCTAATAATCGACACGCGCGCACACACACACACTTTATATAAAGAGTGGGTACTGATGTTAACACTGTGACGCCAATCGATTTCATGCTTGAACGTAGTTTTCAGGCCATGTAGATTGCATTCAAGCATGAAACAGACTGTTGCCAGTCTTTGTTGATTTCGGTGTCCACTCTTCTATTTACACGCGCTCTGTGCCGGATATTGGACACTTTACGCATGAATATCGCATACTTTCAAACTATATTTTATCGTATATCCCCATTAATCGAATAGGTATTTCGAATTTGTATCTTATCTCGGAATTTGCTTTCGTTGGCACTTCTTGTAAATTTTGGTTAAACGGTCTGAAGAAAAAAATCGTTTCCCTCTCCAAAAACTAATATTCGTAAAACAACAAAGTCTAAACGTCTGATAATGTTACATGAATTATTTCCCGCGTTTTTTTTTGTTTTTTTTTAACCGTTGGCATTCTTATATTAATCGCGGCTTTGTACTGTAATGAAGTTAATTTTCTAAACGAGATGAAAGAGTCGATCGACGCCATTCCCGCCTCGTTGATCTTTTATGTGATTATCTTTGATTATCTAATAACGGCTCGCAGAGTTTAGAGCTCAATTGTTGTTCAGTCATATAAAAACAAAAATGCAGTAATTAACCGATAGAGCGTCTTTGTCAGATTCATGTGACAAAATTTACAACCAGCGTCAAACTACAAATGGAGAAGAGTAGGTTTTATTTCCTCCAAACACTTTTATAATTGCTACAGTGATTATTTCCAGACAGGGTCTTTGTTTACATTGGAAATACTTCCTTTCCAAAGCGAACGCCTGTTACTGATTCGGTTTCGAAAATAAAAACTTGTGAGCATGCGCACAAGCATCATATTATAATTCTGCTTTTTCTTTAGCTGGCAAATATTTTACGCCCTGTCAATAGTCAATAAATAATGGCCTATTCCGTTTTGATCACGAGGAAAGATGGAAAAGACATATCAGAGACTGTTTGGTTTTAGTGAGAAAAAGAAAAGAGACGATTTGTTTAACGTCTGCTTCAGTGAATTAAAAAACAAACTTGTCAATTTCAAATGTTGTACTCTCTTACTTTAATCCACTGCATGCATATTTATAATCGTTGCTGTGATATTTTATTAAAGTTTTTAAGCTCAAATATTTAACGATGCATAATATATTGGGGTTCTTGCCCTGTCCTTGCAAGCACTTCCGGTAGGCGATCTTTAGACCTCACTATGCTGCAAATTTCCAGCCAGCTCATGTCTTTGACAACCGGCAGGTACTCTTGGTCTTTTCCACCTTTAAACATATGACTGAAACAAACAAGCGAACAAAATAGAAATAAGACAGCTTGCAAAAAATACTTAAGTCAACATTTATGACTTCTTCGATCTCTTCCCCCAACACTGGAAATGGTGAACATGTCTGCTGTTTCTTTTTTTTTTCATTACTTCTCAATGTTTTCACACTGCTGGTTGATCCAACATTCATTGGCTACCCTCATCTGCTTGCGTACTCAGTTGTTGATTTCATAGTACTCAGCGACACTTTCAGGACTGACGTTTTTAGTCTTCAATGTTCTTTTATCGCAGAGGTCAATCGCTGATGTTGCTTCTTCTGACAACCAAGTACCTCCTCTGTTGTTTCGCGAACTGCCTCATTGAAGCTGTTGGTGAAGTCGTTTATGTCCCTGTCCAGGAGGTTTAATGCCGCATATCTGCCCCCGAGCTATGCCTGAAAAATCTCGTTCACATTTGGATCCTTTAGTTTTTCAAGGTCAAATTTAGTATGTGGGGATGCGCAGCTTGGAATATCGTCTTCAGCTTGACCTTCATTACCGGATCGTGATTGCTGCCTATATCCGCTCCAGGATAGGTTCTTGTGTTTTTTTTTCTACTGATGCTTGAATTTGGGGTCAAAATGAAATCAGTTTGTTTGTGTGTTCCCAATTCGGCGCATGCCATGTTGTACTTCTCAACAGTTTGTGAATGTAAAGAGTGTTAGCGATGGTTACACATAACTATAAATATACATGATACAGTAATAAACAATATTTATAAATTAAACGCAAATTGGCTCTAATCAGGCAATGAACAACTATAACTTGGTATTCTTAATATACATTTATTTAATTAAAAAAATGAATATAGCATTATGTATAACTGAAGTTGTAGTAGGTGTCTTGCTCTTTAACTGAAGACCTTGCTAAAGTGGAAGTCTCGATCCTCTTAGTTAGGGGTGCAAAATTTCAGTTCGTATGTACAACCGAGAACTTTGTTTTTAATGCTATATTCTAGTTGTGGTATCATTATTTGCTGGTTATTGTAATTTTCCCTTTAAAAATTGCGATTGTATTGGGCTGAAATAAAAGTTAGTGGCGCTTGAACAGGTGATTCCGCATCACACGTGACTGAAATTTATGACATGCACACACACAGTCCCCCACCCCCAGAAAATGTATACACATTTCAGGAAAGGCAAAACTATAGATATTGTAATGTTAAAATTATTCAGACATCATGAGATGTTTACAAGTTACATTTGATGAGTAACAGCCACGAGGCTAATGCCATCTGTCGAGAAAATATCATACTACAGTAAACAGTGTTATCGCAATTTGATAAAACTAGGAAAGACAAGTTTTCCTTTCCTGCAGTGTGTATACATTTTTTTTGGGGGGGGGGCGGACTGTGTGTGTGTGTGTGTGCGTGCGTTCTGAAAGGTGACACCCAACATTCGATATACCCTTTCAGATAGAAAGACAGGAAAACAAAATTAGCCCACTTATCTTCTCGTAGTCAATAATTAAGCAAAATATTGAATAAAGCACGCGTGCACACATACACACGCACACAATTTTTATACAATAATCCGGCGTACACATGACCGACCATGAATGAAGTTTCCTGCGGGGAATTTATTTATACCTCCTAGGCTAACCAGAGATATTACAATAATGGTAGCTGGCGAATTCACATAGTGTACTCACAAAC